TGATGAAACCCTAACCAAGTAAATAGGTTTTCTTTTTGGTTTTCTTTTATGTAATGGTTTGAACAATTGTATGGTTCTCAAGAAGTTTTTCAATATAATTTTTCATTACTTTGAGTATTCTGCTTTCTGTGATTGTTAAATGCTTTCCATACAATGGTTTTCTATTATTTCATGTTCAAGGTATGAGACGAGCCATATTACGAGGGACGAATCGTGTTGCTACCTTAGTTTAGAGCGAATGACTCGTACTACTTGAGATGGTTCGTACCTATACATTGAACGTGTTAATTCTCTTGATAAATGCTTCGAGCTTGTAGTTGTGAAGTATTATTTTGTTCGAACCATAACATAATTGATTTTCAAATTAAAACTGTATTTATGTAATTAGTGGTGAATTCATTACCTTAGATTTTTTCCAAAATCAGTAAATTCATTCGCTTTGTTTAATTTAATTATCATTAGGTTATGAACAACCATCTTTTTCATCAAAATAAATTTAGGAATTTAAAAATTAAATTGGTTTAATTTCCAGTTGTCCCTATGGATCGATACTTTGACTTACTGTTATTCTAAGGAATTTGGTATAGGTTAGTGTTGAGATTGAAACAAATTAAAAGATTATTGGATAAAATACAGAGAATTTTAATCAAGGGAATAAAGTGATAATGGCATAATATTAGAGAGGCAAAGTGTAAATTGTCCTATTTATTTTGTTATTTTGAAGATGGGAGGAGCAATCGAACCGGCTACGTCTTATAGAGGTATATAGGTTTTGGCCATTGAACTAACTCGGGTGGTTGCAAATGAGGAAGTATTGGGTAAAATATTGTTTAATCTTCGACTTGAGCAATTAAGGAGGCTAGAATTAGGATTTTGATTTTTTGGGGTAAAAAAATAATAAATTTTTGAAAAGAATGCTTAATTGGAATAGTACTGCATTGGGCCAGGTTTTGTAGACCTAAGCCCAGGCTTTATCCAAGGGTGGATGCCAGGGCTTATGGGCCAGGCACGGGAAACAAATTTACAACAACTGGTGTAACAATCAAAAGTTTCATCAAATTAAAAGTTAAGAGTAGTTTCACATTGAAGCATGTTGAAGTTGCTTTATAACTATAAATGGGATAAGGTTTTGGGTGAGGTTTATAATAAATTTAAAAGTTTGTGAACCAAAAAAAATAAAAAACAAAAAAACCAAAAGCACAAAGGGATATTTAACACCCCCCCTCCAAAAAAAAAAGAAGAAAGAAAAAAAGGACAAGGAGTCAATGTTGTTGAAGATGGCTAAAAGATAAAAGGAAGAAGAAATAAAAGTGGATGGAAAATATAATTGAGAAAATGAAATGACATATTTGAAATCCTTCTATAATAGTTGAAAATTTTAAATTTTGTTGTTTAAAATTTTAAATTTCAACTTGATAGAATTTGAGGGGCTCGTGGAATCAACACATGTCTCATTATTTTGACAACTTGAATCGTTCATTTTGTAAAACGCTCTTTGAGCATATCATTCATAAAAAAAATAAAATAGTAGTCAATCTCATAAGAGCAACTCCAAGAGTAAGAGGCAAAATGCCTTGCAAAAGTACAATTTTTATTTTGCCTAACTAGTTTAGTTAGTATACATTCCAACCATATTATTTATTTTAACTAATCAATCAAACAAATTTAACTAATTTTTTAAAAATATTATAAACAGAGATCAATGAATAAATAATCCTTTTATGACATGTTGCATAATGTGACATTTGTAAATATATATTCTTTTAAAATATATTAAATTATTTTTTAATAAAATATTTTCAAATGGTAATATACAAACACAAAATCAAAACATTGGATGCAATATACAAACACAAAACCAATCAAAAGAAAAGTACTTGATCAGATGAAAGGAACAATTTCAACAGGAACTGTTTTGCCTCTTAACGAAGGCTAGCTACTTGTGGATAGCCAAAATTAAAATGAACATTTTGTTCCTTTTGATACAGAGTCCCTTAGAAGAGGAAAAAACTAATTGCATTAACAAAAATGACTCGAGATGCTCTTTTGCCTCCCTTAGATAATCTAACGGTAGCATTTTTATTATATTGTATTTTCTCCGTAAGTGATTATATAATTAAAATAGTTAAAAGTTAACAAAAAAAACAAAATAAAAAAATTAAAACGTTAAAAATTCAATTACATTAGCACAGTATCATATTATACATAGCGATAGATTATTATTATTTCTTTATAATTATCTATTCAATTAAAAAATTATTCTCAAATACATTGAAATTATAATTATTTTTTTCTTTATAAGTAGCAGGTGATGGTCGGAGTGATTAGAGAGTGAGAAAATAATAAAAAATTATTTTATAAACAAGTGAAATTAATATATATATTTTTCATTTTAAAAGAGTTTAATAGTAAATTTTGTAATTTACAATTTAATTTATTTTTTTGTAAAAATAAATAAATAAGGGAGCTTTTTTCATAAATCTATCTTTAATTACTTATGTTCCATCCAATCCATATTCTTTTTAACTATTCCATTAGGTCCTATTTGAGACAAGAAGATCAAAATGCCCTTTTCATCTACTTATGTTCTATTTAGTTCATATTATTTTCTTATATTTCAATAAGTCCTATGGGTGACATAATTACCAAAATACCCCTAATGTGAATGTTCACACCGTCAATGTGAATGTTCATATCGTCAATGTGTAGAGGCCTGACCCATGTACAATGTGAATATTCACATTGACATGTTAACATTCACATTGATAGGAGTGTAAAATTATCCCGCGACCTGTGGGCAGCCCGAGGCGAGCCCGGTCCGGCTCGTGACAATGTGAATATTCACATTGACATATTAACATTCACATTGATAGGACTGTAAAATTGGCCCGCGGCCTGTGGGCAGCTCGAACCTCACTCATTGCCGGGGCGAGACCCTCCCGTTGATAATGTGAATATTCACATTGACATGTTAACATTCACATTGATAAGAGTGTAAAATTGACTCGCATCCCATGTGTGGCCCGAAGCTCGTGGGCGGCCCGGGGCGAGCCCGGCCCGGCCCGTGACAATGTGAATATTGACATTGACATATTAACATTTACATTGATAGGAGCGTAAAATTGGCTCGCAGCTCGTGGGCGGCCCGAAGCTGGCCCGCTGCCCGAAGCGGGCCCAGCCCAGCCCGTGACAATGTGAATATTCACATTGACATGTTAACATTCACATTGATAGGAGTGTAAAATTGACTCACGTCTCATGGGTGGCCCGAAGCCCGTGGACGGCCTGGGGCGAGCCTGGCCCGGCCCGTGACAATGTGAATATTGACATTGACATATTAACATTCACATTGATAGGAGTAAAAGTTTCATCAAATTAAAAGTTAAGAGTAGTTTCACATTGAAGCGTGTTGAAGTTGCTTTACAACTATAAATGGGATAAGGTTTTGGGTGAGGTTTAAAATAAATTTAAAAGTTTGTGAACCAAAAAAAACAAAAAACAAAAAAACCAAAAGCACAAAGGGATATTTAACACCCCCCCAAAAAAAAGAAGAAAGAAAAAAAGGACAAGGAGTCAATGTTGTTGAAGATGGCTAAAAGATAAAAGGAAGAAGAAATAAAAGTGGATGGAAAATATAATTGAGAAAATGAAATGACATATTTGAAATCCTTCTATAATAGTTGAAAATTTTAAATTTTGTTGTTTAAAATTTTAAATTTCAACTTGATAGAATTTGAGGGGCTCGTGGAATCAACACATGTCTCATTATTTTGACAACTTGAATCGTTCATTTTGTAAAACGCTTTTTAAGCATATCATTTATAAAAAAAATAAAATAGTAGTCAATCTCATAAGAGCAACTCCAAGAGTAAGAGGCAAAATGCCTGCAAAAGTACACAGAAAAAGTACTATTTTTATTTTGCCTAGCTAGTTTAGTTAGTATACATTCCAACCATATTATTTATTTTAACTAATCAATCAAACAAATTTAACTAATTTTTAAAAAATATTATAAACACAGATCAATGAATAAATAATCATTTTATGACATGTTGCATAATGTGACATTTGTAAATATATATTCTTTTAAAATATATTAAATTATTTTTTAATAAAATATTTTCAAATGGTAATATACAAACACAAAACCAAAACATTGGATGTAATACACAAACACAAAACCAATCAAAAGAAAAGTACTTGATCAGATGAAGGGAACAATTTCAACAGGAACTGTTTTGCCTCTCAATGAAACTAGCTACCTGTGGAGAGCCAAAATTAAAATGAACATTTTGTCCCTTTTGATACAGAGTCCCTTAGAAGAGGAAAAAACTAATTGCATTAACAAAAATGACTCGAGATGCTCTTTTGCCTCCCTAAGATACTGTAACGGTAGCATTTTTATTATATTGTATTTTCTCCGTAAGTGATTATATAATTAAAATAGTTAAAAATTAACAAAAAAAACAAAATAAAAAAAATTAAAACGTTAAAAATTCAATTACATTAGCACAGTATCATATTATACATAGTGATAGATTATTATTATTTCTTTATAATTATCTATTCAACTAAAAAATTATTCTCAAACACATAGAAATTATAATTATTTTTTTCTTTATAAGTAGTAGTTGGTGATCAGAGTGATTAGAGAGTCAGAAAATAATAAAAAATTATTTTAGGTTATATATGTGGGTCATTCAATCTGTCATCTCACGACGGGGAATTATTCAATAATTTCGGAGCACTATGTGTCTATATTCCAAATCAATCACCAATTAGTTAGTCCCATGTTGTCCCTCCTTCTCCAACATAAATCGTGGACCCTTTGTCTCTTCACCAATCAAAACTTTATGAAGTATCACATGTCCATACTCCAAAAATACTGAATAATTAACCTCTGACGACAAGAGTGAGAACAATGGTTGACAATCACGATAGATAAAAGCTACCCCAATCATCAAGTAAAATAATTCGGACAAACTCAAATTGGACGTGGAATATTTTTGCAGCACATTTGTTTGATTACACGTGCGGCGCGTGTGAGAGAAGGTTTTGAAGTGCGCGTAGTAATGTTGAGAGGGGGAGAAAGTGATGAACTTTATTGTACTTGCACTCAATTCAAGGTTCCACTTTACCTGCTGCTGCTGATGCCACACTCCTCCTCCTCCGTTACCGGAAAGACAAAGAGAGAGAATCAGACGACGGTGGTTGGTCACTTTCTCTCTCTAAAACCCTCAACATTCTCTTTCTATATCTACACCTGCAATGCGTACAACTCTCCTCTCGCTCCTCCTCCTCCTCCTCTGCTTTCTCTATCTACCTTCTTGTCACACACTCTCTCTCCTAGCCACCACCGACTCCAACAACCACCCCTTGGTGGTGGAGGACGCCAATGCCACCGCCGCCGAATCCAACTCTTCTCGCTCGAGATCTGAGGACGATAGCTTCGCCGACATCATCGATCGGGCACTCCAAAAGGAGTTCACTGAGAATGACGACGATCACTCCCAAGGTTTGTTTTTTTGTTTTAGATCTCACCTCTGTTTTTTTATTTTATGACTTAGGGTTTTGCTTTTTTCTTTCTTTTTTGGGGTGGTAAAAATTGCTTTTTGGACATGGCTTCAATTGATTGCTTGTTACTACTAGGCATTGGGTGTGTGTTTGTACAATTCACTTAAGTTAAATGCAAGCATCTGAGCTATTTTCTGCATTTCTCTTATCAGCAATTTCTAGGATTTATAAACTTGTGATTGTCATAGCCTCAGTGTTATGAAAGCTTGTACCACAGTTTGGTAGTTTCTTGCCCATGCGTTTTGAAATTGTGCATTATGATTTTTGCGCAATTTCACTGGGTAGTGTTGTATTGTTATTATGTTAGATGAACAGACACTGGTATCAACCCATTTTCTATTGTTTTTTTTTTTTTTGGAATATTGAATTACAAAAAAATAACAATTGTAAGACGATCTAGACTATGAACAATAGTTATAGTTGTGAGAAACCATTTTTTATTTTTATTATTTATTATTTTTTGTGGTTATATTTTGTCCAAATTGTTAAATTTTGCACTTTGAACCCATTTGAAGTTGTGAGAAACCATTTTATACTTTGAACCCATTTGAACCCATGTTTTCTAGATATAGTGGTGTGAGTCGTGCAACCACTTAATATTTTTTAAAACCTAGAGGGGTTCAATTTGTATAACCTGAAAATAAATAATAGCTTATACTAGTATGTAATGGGGGATTTTGAAATCTATGGGAGGATGATCCCTCTTGCCCCCTCTAGGTCCATCCTTGATATACATTATATGACACCTCATTGAACCCCCGGAAGTGTATGTCTTTTATAAAAGAATGACTACTCATATACATATGTTAAACACACAAGAAATTATATCTATGTATTAAAAATCAGAAACTAAATATTATTAAAAATATAAGGTTGAAATGTCATCATTAAACAAACCGAAATTTTAGAAATTCCATGTAGTCTTTATTAAAATTAAACAATAACACAACATAATTCAACAAAATCAATTGATCCTAATTTTATACCCAAATCTTAAACATTAAGGTCAACAAAATCAATAAAAAGATTTAGACTGAGAGTGAGATAGAAAACAAGTCTAAAATATGTAAGAGGAGCTAATTTGAGCCCATTAAATTAATTAGGCCCAATAATCCAAGGTTGATGGGCCCAAATTTATTGCAAGTCCAGGACTGGCGGACCCAGATTTATCACCATCAAACGGGCTGAATGGCTCAAAGCCTCAAAAGGGTTCGGATCCACGAACTTAGAGACTTACTCGGGCCCTCAACACCGAGACAAGGGCAAGAATGTTGCTATGATAGCTCTCCATTATCAACCTTGAGAGTGAAAGTGGGAGATCCCTGGGAGAGCCTTGCCATTATTCTCTCTCTAGCCATTTTGCCTTCTTCTTCACCCAATCTCTTATCTCCATCATCTCCTTTACTCTTGTGTTCTTGATTTGAGACCATTGAAGAATCTAAGCCTCTCACATTTCTTCTAGAGAATTCGAAATTGTTCTCCAAGGATCTTTGAAGATCTTCGAATTTTTCAACTCCTTTCTTGAACCCTTTCCTACAAAATATAACATCACCTGAGAGAGAGAGAGGTGCCCCTGCCCACCACTTTTGAGTTTTGCCTTTGAGATTCTTTTACAAATGCATGTATTAATTAATTCATTGTAGCATATGATGTGAGCAAACTTTTGTATTTATCAATTTGTTTTATCTTCAGATTGTGAAAAGTAGGGGCAGATGTTTGTCTAGATGCTTTAGGAAAGGGGATAGAGAGAGGGCAGGGCAGGCCTATTCAAAACATGGTGAGCTACACTAGCAGATATTTGGCAGTTTAAAAAATTTCAGAGGGGATAAGTGTGCCACCGATCATTTGTCATGTCATATACCAAAAACTCTTAGATGTAAATATTAGTTTGCATTACATTAATTAAATGAGATGCAAACTAATATTTAAGCATAAAATGAAAAAATAAAAATGAAAAAATTAAGAACTCCTTGGACTCATAAATGGTGATAGGCCAATCATCAATCATAAAAATTAGTTGGAGCTGCATCGTTGACCAATTACACAAGAAGGATTTCTAAGGGCTCACCGACACGACTCCGAAAAATTTAGTGGAGCCTCAATGATTGGCTAACTATTGAATTAATCATGAATATAATGATGAGTGTAACCTAACAATCCAGCTACATCAATAATGATGAGACCAAACTGTTGGGGAAATGATCAAATAGCATTATAACCACATAAATAGTTATATCATCAAATTGCGAATCCTTTCATAGGGTAGTATATGTTACCAAATCAATAATGATTTGATATTGATAAATGCAAAAGTATGTCCACATCATATGCTATAATGAATTAATTAATAAATCCGAAAAGAGGGGCAGGCTTAGTTTTGCAGCGGCGAAAAAAGAAAAGAAGGTATTAATTTGGCTCAATGGAATCTAGTTTTAAGTAGTTGTATTAATTTGGTAGTTTCTTGCCCATGCGTTTTTAAATTATGCATTATGATTTTTGCGCAATTTCACTGGGTAGTGTTGTATTGTTATTATGTTAGATGAACAGACACTGGTATCAACCCATTTTCTATCTTTTATATTGAATTACAAAAAAATAACAATTGTAAGCCGATCCATGAACAATAGTTATAGTTGTGAGAAACCATTTTTTATTTTCATTTTTTTTATTATTTCTTGTGGTTATATTTTTTCCAAATTGTTAAATTTTATACTTTGAACTCATTTGAACCCATTTGAACAATAGTTATAGTTGTGAGAAGCCATTTTATACTTTGAACCCATGTTTCCTAGATATTGAGGTGTGAGTCGTGCAACCACTTAATATTTTTTAAAACCTAGAGGGGGCGAATTTGTATAACCTGAAAATAATTAATAGCTTATACTAGTATGTAACAGGGGATTTTGAAATCTATGGGAGGACGATCCCTCTTGCCCCTTCTAGGTCCATCCTTGATATACATTATATGACACCTCATTGAACCCCCGGAAGTGTATGTCTTTTATAGAAGAATGACTACTCATATACATATGCTAAACACACAAGAAATTATATCTATGTATTAAAAATCAAAAACTAAATATTATTAAAAAAATAAGGTCGAAATGTCATCATTAAACAAACCAAAATTTTAGAAATTCCATGTAGTCTTTATTAAAATTAAACAATAACACAACATAATTCAACAAAATCAATTGACCCTAATTTTATACCCAAATCTTAAACATTAAGGTCAACAAAATCAATAAAAAGATTAAACAATAAAGGATATTAAAGAAGATTACGTCACCTGAGACTGAGAGTGAGATAGAAAACAAGTCTAAAACATAACATCACCTGAGAGAGAAAGAGGTGCCTCTGCCCACCGCTTTTGAGTTTTGCCTTTGGGATTCTTTTACAAATGCATGTATTAATTAATTCATTGTAGCATATGATGGGAGAAAACTTTTGTATCTAGCAATTTGTTTTATCTTCAGATTGTGAAAAGTAGGGGCAGATGTGTGTCTAGATGCTTTAGGAAAGAGGATAGAGAGAGGGCAGAGCAGGCCTATTCAAAACATGGTGAGCTACACTAGCAGATATTTGGCAGTTTAAAAAATTTCAGGGGGGATATGTGCGCCACTGATCATGTGTCATGTCTGTGGGGAAGTGGTTTTGGAAATACTCTTTCGATCCACTGGGACGCTTGAGATCCTCAACTAATGACCTGAAAAGGAGTAAACACTCCGGTCAGGGATGTCGGAATTAGCACTCCGATGGATAAGTCAGTATATACTCTCTTGATTGCTTGTATCTTAAGTTAAGTGTCCTAATTCTCACATACCTTTCTCTGATTGATGATCCTCTTTTTATATTATTCTCTTTGGGCCTTAGGGCCAGGCCCACCCTCGATCCATTACATGTACTTCTACTCGGCCTTTATTCTACTGGTTGGAATACGATTATTTTATTCGGCTCTTCAATTGACTAGGATCAATACCGAATAAAGGTTATGCCCTAGACTGAACTCTTGTCCATTCGTCCCTATTGACCCATTATTATTCGGCTTCTACAATTCCCCCCCAAACACCCCACTAGCATCAGTTAGTAGGTGTGTTTGGTTTCGAACTTGGAAAGTCAAAAATTCGGCGATTAATCCTCTTCCCAATGCGTGTCAGAATGCGCACACGTTTTTTTTGGTCATTATAGCGATTTCCTGCCCCTTCATACACTGCCTCCATTTAATGTGATTTAAAATTGTCTCTTCGAATGTATGTTTTGAATACTCAAAAATATCTGAGTTGCCTTCTAGTGCAACTCCTTCACTTCACGGCTTCTGCAACTCCTTGTTTCTCGTTTTCTCCTTCGCCTCCTGTAAGTTTTCTTCTCTTTCATTTCCAATCCCGTTTCCTTGTTTGCTTTTAGTTTTTTATAATCCTTAGGCTGGCCAGCATGGCAAAACATTTGAAGGAGCTCCTTTCAGCGGATCGAATCTCCGGCTTTCGACGCCATTTTTCCATCCCCGATGACGTCCATCTGTCACTTTTGGCAGACAGCACCACTGATATGGAGAGGACTGATGAGAGCCCAATTGTCTTTCCTCTTCATCACTTAGTGACTATGCTTGTTAGCTCTGGCAAGCGTGTTGATGACGTGATGGTCGTTGTCCGGGGCAACTGGGAATTCGGCGAGGGTGAAGATCGCCTAGATCCGTGCTAAGGCGAAAAGGCGAACCAGGTGTCCGATTAGCTCAGTTTTGTTTCTGTTATTACCATATCTGTATTCGGCTCTCCATACATCTAATCGCTTTGTTTATGCAGGCAGCGACTTGAAGAGAGTGTTGGTTTCAGACAACGACGCTGTACTTGCAGAAATTAAAATCGCACTATAGTTCGTCGGCCGTCCAAACCTTTAAAAACAAGGGAGGGCAGCCCACATTCTCCTGCGGTACGAGCTGACTTA